TACGACTGCTCTGATTCTTCATTCTCGTCCGAATGTAAGATACGTAGGCACAAGATTGTGATGATCTTGGCGAGCACACTTCTATCTTCCTCCATTATTTCGTCCATTCCCCATCCTTTTCCCGTAGTCGAACTACGACGCTCTGATTTCTCATTCTCGTCCGAATGAGCATACGTAGGCACAAGGGCCCCAATCCTTGGCGATCACCCTATCCTCTAACCACCCATCTCTCCTTTGCGTCTCTAACCTTTCTACCCTACCAATTCTACCTTTAGCAACAAGAAGAAAACAAGTAAACCTAAACAACACTCCCCACAATTACCTTAAGAGGTTCCCGTCGAGTACGACGGACGTGAGGGGTGCTAATACCTTCCCCTCACGTAACCGACTCCCGAACCCGGAACTTGGTTGCGACAGCCCTGTTCCTATCCTTTTCATTTTAAGAGGTTTTCTCGATATTTTCCTCTCCCGTTATTCGGGATAAATAAAGTTCGGTGGCGACTCTGTCGAACCGCATTTCCGCGCCCTTCGCGCGAGGGTCGTATGTTCGATTGAATTTTCGAGGTGCGACAATAATCCACCAAAACAAATCATATTAAAATGTTTAACATGGGTCTCTCACTTCCTTTTTTGATTGTATTCATTCTTCATTTGTACAACTTTTATCAATCTCTTCCATTCTTTATTCACCTTGCAAAACTATCTACCACCAAGCCATCACTTAACAACACTAACATTCATCCTCATATAAACTCATCACTAATTTTCATGGTCTTACTCTCTTCCATTACGTGAACATGAACACACAACAAACTACAACTTACAGTGAAAATCAAACATAACTCTTTCGCCATAAAATCCTTTCCTTACAACCATCACCATATTTGTACAACTTTTACACACTAACTTCACTTTTTTGATACTATTCATCTCTCACTATCGACTAACCTTCAATCTCTCACTATCATAATTTATTAGTTCTATTCACCTGGTTTCTAATTTTACTCTTGTTCTGAATTTATCAGTTGAATCAAAATATATAAACACCAAACAGTTCCCAGGGCAATTCATTGGTTTCAATCCAAACTCTTGTTTGTCAATCTAAAACATACAAAATATATAACATGCAATGCATACATAAGTTTTTATACATTAACAATGGTGAAAAGATAAGTAAAAAAGAAAACCAGAGTAAAACTTCAAATACCGTAACAATGGCGGAAATGCAATGCAGACGGACGGAGGTTGTCGTAAACGGATGGTGAACGACGGCGAAATGCAACGGAGGAGGCTGTCGTTAACGAACGGTGAACAACGGCAAAATGCAACGGAGGAGGGCAACAGTCAGATTGGGTAGGGCAACATAACGTTCGCCAGAGGAGAAGAAGGAAAAAAAATACAATGAGTACTGTTCTAATTCTTTTAAAAATTCTGGTGGGTATTTTAAATTTAATTCTAACTAAACCTACAGCAGCGCTTTTTAATGGCTTTAGCAGCGCTCTCAAATGTGTGCCTTAGCAATGACAAATAGCAGCGCTCTCAAATGTGTGCCTTAGCAATGACAAATAGCAGCGCTTTCTTATGTACCCCCATATAGCAGCGCTTTACAGAAAAAGCGCTCTCGTAGGTAGGCAATTTTGTTTCTTATGTACCACCTACAGCAGTGCTTTAGAAAAGCGCTTTCATAGGACACCCCTTTAGCAGCGCTTATTAAAAAGCGCTGTCTTTGGTAGACAATTTTTTTTAATGACACTGTAGCAGCGGTTTTTTAGCAGCGCTTATCAAAAAGCGCTGTCTTTGGTAGGCAATTTTTTTCTTTTTTTTAATGACTCTTTAGCAGCGCTTTTTGAAAAAGAGTTGTCTTTGACTACGCTAACAATGTTTTCAGTGTGAAGGAGACAATGGACCATGGTGAGGGGAAGCCTATGGGACATTATAAGGTCGACCTCTTGAACGGGTGGTGTGACTGTGGAAAGTTTCAAGCATATCGTGTCCCTTGCTCACATGTTATCGCTGCATGTTCGAATGTGCGCCACAACGCTTACGCTCTTTTGTCCGACGTTTATAGGGTTACAAACCTGTTTGGGGTTTACAGCACAAGCTTTCCAGTGCTGCCGTACGATGAATATTGGCTCGTTTATGAAGGAGATCAAATTTGCCATAACCCAAGAATGCGGAGGAACAAGAAAGGTCGTCCAGTGAGCACACGTATTACAACGGAAATGGATAACTTTGATAAGCTTGAGAGAAAATGTTCCATGTGTCGTCAAACAGGCCACAATCGCACTCGGTGTCCCAATGTGGGAACAAGTAATCGTTAGTGTTTTCATTAATCATCATGTACTAAATAATATTAGTTAATGATATCAATTAATATAAATTATGTCTTAAAAATATAAATTTATATTATACTTTAATTGATTGTATTAATATTAACATTATTGATAATATTACTAAATATTAATATTAATAATATTAATATATATTGATAATAATAATAATATTATTAATACAAATATTAATAAATATTAATATTATTAATATTAATATTATTAATATTAATATATATTTATATTAATAATATAAATATAAATAAATATTTATTTTATTAATATTAATAATATTAATATATATTAATATTATTAATATATATTATTATATATAAATATAAATTAATATATATTATTAATATATATTAATATATATTAATATTAATATATTATATTTATATTATTAATATATATTAATAGTATTAAGATATATTATTATATATATTAATAATATTAAAACAGAAATAAAACGAAAAAGTAAAAAAAAATTATGAGTTGGACTCTCCCGCCCTTCCAATGGGCGGCACACTATAAATATACACTCCACCGTCCAATGAATGGGGGCAAGTTTCAGCCAATAATTTCAAATTTTTTGAAAGTGTGGCATTGTGGATATATCCTGAAACATGTGGCATTTTGGATATTCCTACCTAAAAACATGGTAGGACCATGTAAAATTCGATAAGAGTAGCTTGTTTAGCATTGGTATTGGTGACCTTTTTATGAAGGCAGCAGAGCAGTTTCTCACATGTAGGATTGGTTCTATTCCATTTAAATTCTTGGGTCTAAGGGTTGATGATAATCATAGAAGGATCTCATTTTGGAAGTCGGTAACCAATTGTTTCAAAATCAGGTTGTCTCCATGAAAATGGAGATTATTATCTATTGGTGATAGGGTAACATTGATTAATTTGTTTATGACAAATTTGTCAATCCATCATTTATCTTTTTTCAAGGCGTCACGAAAAGTGTTGGATGAACTAATTTCTTTACAGAGAAACTTCTTATGGCATGGAACAGACGAAAGTAAACGTATGGCTTGAGTGAGTTGGAATTCTATATGTAATACTAAGGAGGACGATGGATTTGGTTTGAAAGATTTAAGGTTGTTCAATTTGGCTTTAATGGCAAAGTGGCTATGGCGCTTTCTTACCGAATCTGATGAAATCTGGTGTGGGATTCTGCGAGACAAATAGGACGACTATGCAAAGTCTATTCTATCAAGGGAGGTATATGTTGCGAAATCATATGATTCACAATGGTGGAAGGACGTGCTGAGGATTAACTTTGATGTTGCAGTTGTGCCATTTGGAGAACTAATTACCATTAGGTTGGGTGACGGTGCATCAACACCGTTCTGGACTGCGGGATGGATGGAAAATGATACATTGAAAGAGCAATTTCTTGGCCTGTACTCTATAGCTGGTACGAGATGCGTATGGTGATAGATATGGGGGCTTGGGATATAAATGGGTGGACTTTGGAATCTAGAATTTCACAACCAGGTATTATCTCCTACAATTGCGGCTGAATATCATGATTTATCTTTGTTGTTGCTGATAGCTAAGGATAAGGAAGATGTTATCCTTTGGCCTTTGGGCCATTTGAATCGGTTCACAATATAATCATTTTATTTTAGACTATTATTGGTTGCGGGCGGAGGTGTGTTGGAGGAACCTACCAAGGTTTTCATGCGTTGCTTGTGGAAATCATTTATTCCTTCTAAGGCAAAGTTGTTTGGATGGAGGCTTCTGCTGAATAGGCTGCCTATGAGGGGCAATCTCTTTTACTATGGTATTCACTCAAATCCTTATGATATTGTCTGCGTCTTACGTTTCGGTCCAATGGAGGATGTTAGTCATTTATTTATTTCGTGTTCTAAAACTAGGATTGTTTGGAGTAAAGTTTGTGAATGGTTGAAAATTAGGGAGGCCAATGAAACAATGTTATCAGAACACTTGATGTCTTGGCTAGATAATCTTAGAGGAAGGTGTTTTAAAAAGCTTGCTTATAGTTTGTGGGTGTTGATTTGTTGGAGTATTTGGTGGGCGAAAAATCAAATACTTTTTAATGATGAGATCAATGATTCAGAGTTGATAGTGGTGAAAACTATGTATTTTTCTTAGTGGTGAATATTAAGACTTCCTAAAGGTAAAATTTCTTATAATTTTTGTAAATAGTATAAGCATCCTTTAGACTTTATGTAAATGTGAAAATAGCTGTTGTTAGTTGTATTGTGGGTTGGAATACCCTAATACTTTAATATTTGAATATACATCTGGCTTATTAAGAAAAACAATTTCGTCTTTATAATTCTCTCTGAAGTTAGGTCTGCCGTGTAAAACAAAATCTCAAAGAATACTTGTAAGGATTCAATTTCTTCTTGACATAATAATTGATTAATCATATCATAATATATTCTAAGCTATTTTAAGATTTGATGTGTACATACATATCACTATATCAGTATCATTCCTAGGAGACTATATCAATCAATTTGTCGCAAATGAATGCTGATTAATTTTATATGCTTATATATACATAAAGCAAAATATATATAGACGCATCTAAAACATCTATAATCTATAATTATATACATATTACAAGCACTTTTGGTGCCTTATTACAATATATAGAATTATACATTTTGGACATTACCTTACCTATGATTCATTCTGAAGAATCTTGATCTCCCAAAGAAACTTTACTTAACCTACTTGGCAATAATTTGGCATTAATGCTATTACTTGCAATTTTTCTTTTCCCATTTCTGCGTAGATGTGATCTCAATATTGCTCTCCTTGCTAGTTCTTTCCCCAAATTGGATTTACTTGTACCATTTGTGGCAGAAATTTCTTCTGAAGTGAGTCCTTGGTTGATGGAAGAAGAGGCCTTCTCTGAAGCCATGGTTTTGGTTTTGGAACATATATATGCAAAAGCAATTAGATGTTTGAGAAAGAAGGTGTAAGGTGTCAGGCTTTTAAGGTGGTTTTAAGAAACACTTTTGCACTTACATACATGACACGTATAGAGAATATGTGTTGGATAGCAGAGAGGTTAATGGGATGCAAAAGGAATCACTTGTAAAAAGGTTGTTACTTGTGGAAAATAATGATTATATGCTATCTTGTTGATAAATCTATGAGTATATGAACATATAAATTCGGTCATTTATCAATCTTGTCCAAAATATATTAACTAAAATATTATAATTAAAATTTATAAAGTTTAAATATATTTTTAATTAGATAAATAATATACACGAACCTGACACATCTATATAACTCATGCATTTTTTAATGAAAGTTCAATTAATGACAAACATATAGACCATCCTCCATAAGAATATATATAAGCTTTCCTAATTATGAAGGTAAGGTTTGTTAAAATTTTAGGGTAGTTAACATTTTCTCAATCTGCATTTTTTTAGCGGTTGTTTAAAAAACTATCGGTAAAAAATGTTGTACAAGTGATTTTAAACACAAGAAATAGGTGAATTGTGTTATTTAAAATTTATAATTAATTTAAAAAAGTTCTTACTTAAAAATCAATTTCTGTTGGTATTGAAAAAATCAGAGAGAGAAGCAACGAAATAAATCAAACAATAAAGTAAATGATATAATTTAAAGAGATAGGGTTAGAGAGATGGAGTCGAAATTTATAGAGGTTTGGCCGAATGTTGATTTAGTCTTGCTCTCAAGAAATCTTCTTGAGAGTTCACTAAAAACTTGATCTTTTACCGGTTATACTCACAAACCTTTGATACAAACAAAGCAAGAGATTTTATATTGACTTATTCCCCCTACAAAACAAGAGTTTTTTTCACAGGCTAAATTGACGAACAAAATAGAGATTTTACCGGCTAATCTAAATAATTAAACAAAAACTTTACCAGCTAACTTTTAGAACCAAACATAGAATTTTACTAGTTTATCTCAAGAATCAAACACAACCAATCATTCAATGTCATGTCATTTTTATATATTTTTATTTGAAAATAAATTAATATTTTAAATCAGTTTAGACTAAAGATACCGATGTCCAACTATTTATTATAGGTACTTAAGAATTTGTATTTTTTAAATATTCAAAACAATGTCATTTTGGTTAACAAAAATAAAATAAAATTAAGTGATAAGTGCAACAGCTATTAGTTGTCCCCAACTTAATACGTCATTGTTTATGAAGTGTTTGTTGAGAAAAATCGACTTTGAATATTTGTTAATATTTATGAACTAATATAAGTTACTAAATTAGTTTAACTATTAAACTCAAATGTAAGATTGAAGAAAGGAGAATGTTTTACTTGTACTTTCAAAATAAATTTTGGTGTGTATTCTTACATTGGTCAAAGGTAGTATTTATACTACTAGAAATGCAACTATTACACTAATGTAATAATTAGACTTACTATTTAAACTTTGACAAATTATGTATGTACAATAATTTGCCATTACTATTTAGATAGATATTTCTAAATAATAATATTATTTTAATAATAATAATATTATAACTGTTGTGAATCTTGTTGTGAATTACGAAAAAATTTAATATCAAATTGCGAGGCAAAGAACAATAGAAACCAAAATAAATGGTCTTCAGCAATAATAATCCGTACACAGATAATATAACATAATAAGGCAAGAAAAAACTGAAGGTTTGTTTACCCAGTTCGATCAAACGATCTACTTTAGGAGAGTGAGCATCTCTCCAATTCACTATACTAAGAAAGTTGTTACAAGAGATTACAGATGAGTTACAAGAAAATAACTTTCGCCTTCAGGTTCCCATGAACAACCCTGAAGGCGCCCAAGGACAACTTTATTTTCTACCCAAGTGTTTCCCTACCTCTCCAACTCTCAATATATGAATCACTCAAACTCAAGGTGTAATCCAAGGTTTTCTTTGTGCATAGCTGAAACCTATAATATACCTTTAAACCCTTGGTCTCCCTTGTTGGTGAAAATTCTAATATTGTCACACACCAAGTATTTAAGAGATACATATTTATAATAGCAAATACCCAACAAACAAAGTCCAAACTCACATGGATCCATGGACCGAATCGAAAAGGCCCGAAAAATCGAAAACATTATTCACCGTACGGACAATATTATTCACAGTACGGACGTTACTATTCATCCATACTGATATCACTATTCACCGTACGAGGAGGCATTATTCACCGACCAAATTTTTTTTCTCGACTTTTCGTCCGATTTTCGCGGTAAATACAATCTCCAAAATATATTTTCTTTCTCTTCATCAACAAAGGTTTTAAGGCACACTTACAACAATCTCCACTTTGACTTTAAGCCGTGTTAATATCAATTTAACAATCAACAACATTGCTGCTCTCTACCATGTTGAAACTTTAATCAATAACTTTGATTAAATTCAAGCAACCCTTGAATCTTGATCTCGCAACTTGAATCCACTTGTTCCCAATTAGACTTTTCTGCCTAGGTAATTTAACAAGCCTACAAGTATGATTTTTCAACCACCCTTGACTCCACCTGTTTTTAAATGTCTCCCTGAAGGTTTTTCTTCTTTTATTTTGCAATTCTTCAGCCACATTAAAAACATAATATCCAAGGCTAGTATAACGGTCCCTTTGAGATGCTACAATAACTCTCCTTACCTTATCATGGGTCAAATGGTAATCAGAGATCTCTGTAACCGTTCCCTCACTATTACTAACATCCATAGTAGGAAACTCCACCTCAAACTGACTTTTCTCTGTTATAGTTTCTCCCAGGTTTCTCCTTTGGTTTTCACTATTCTTCTTCTGAAGAAATTCTCTACCAACCAAGTAATATGTTTTAACCTCAACTCTTCCCTAAAAACTCAATAACAACTCAACGGTAACATGCATTTTTATCCCTTGATTTCTACAAAATTCATTGTACTCCTCTGAAACTTTCTCAAGGTATTCATAACGCCTTAAACTCAAATCCCATAGCTCTTCATTGTCATGAAAGCCTCCACTAGTAACGATGAATGAATAATAACATTTGAACCTTCTAAAATATATAGATCACAAATTTTAGACCCTTTAGCAATAATCAATTTATCACGCGAAATCTTCAACACTCCACGTTTAACTCCAATACAATAGCCTAGATCATCAAACATACTTATAAATAACAAATTTCGCTTGAGTTCTGGAACATACCTCACATTGTAAATAAGAAGTTAACGATCATTAAACATTTTAAATTTGACCGTACTAACACCATGAACCTTGCATGCCTTATTATTACCAAGGTGAACTACTCCACCTTGCATCATCTTCAAAGTTTCAAAGTATTCTATTCTTGAACATATGTAGGGCTGGAAATGAGTCGAGTCGATTCGAACTCACCTCAGCTCGGCTCGACTCGTTAAGAATTGTTCGAGTTCGAGTTCAACACGAACTTTTTTTAAGCTCAAATTCGACTCGTTATAAGTTCACGAACAGTTCGGTTCAACTCGTTAGGTTCATCTCATTAGGTTCAGATCACATGATTCACGGACTTAAAAACTATACATATATATATATATATATATATATATATATATATATATATATATATATATATATATATATATATATATTTGACATTTTAAATAAATATATTTTTTAAAAATAAAATAAAAGTTATCATATTGAAATTTAACTTTATTTTCGAAATCTACTAATTCAAAACCTACACAACTTTCAAGAGATACATTTGAGAGTCTAATTCAAAAACTGCTAAATTGAAGATTAAATTTGTCTAAGATTTTGAGTAAATATTTAAACCTAATCTTAAAGATAGTATAATTCTTCTCATATGTAATCGAGTTGACTCATGAACCTAACGAGTCGAACTATGTATAGTTCAAGTTCAACTCATTTAGTTAATGAACTTAATTTTTTGCTCATACTAAACTCATTTGGTTCATGAACCTAGTTCAACAATTTAATTGCCGAATCGAATTCCGAACTATTTTTGAGTTGGTTCGGTTCATTGCCAGTCCTAAACATATGTAATAAGAGCAACCTGAGTCAATAACCTAACTATCTTCAGTTTCCAAACTTGATACTACTAGTGCTTCGACATTCTCATAACTTTCCTCACCCAATGCAACTACAACTTGAATATAATCTTCATTGACCTTTCTTTCAGGACAATCCCTTTTAAAGTGACTGATTTTCTAACAATTAAAACATTTTACCTTTGACTTGTCAGACCTCTTTGATTTGGACATCCCTTTATGCTCACCTCTTCCTCTTCACATTTAAGCCTTCACCATTATCTTCAATCTTCAAATCTTTCGACTTTGAAAATTATTTGGATTTCACCGCTGTCTGGACTTCATCTAAAGTAATAGTACCTTCCTTACCATAAAGAAGGGCATCCTTAAAGTGCTCAAAGGATCTGGGTAATGAACTCAACAGGAGCAAATCCTTATCCTCATCATCAATCTTCACTTCAATATTCTCAAGATCATTGATAATCTTGTGAAATTCTATGAACTGCTCAACTATGGATTTGTTCTCCACCATTCGGAATGAATAGAGTTGTTGTTTCATATACAACCTGTGAACCAAAGACTTTGTCATATACAATGATTTAAGTTTTTCCCACATAGCAACCACAATTTGCTCCCTGACGAATTCTCTTAGAACTTTATCCCCAAGGCACAAGATAATGGCATTCCTTGCCTTATCCACCATCTCGGTCTTCTTTACCTGTGTAACCCTTGCAGGTGTCAATACTTCACTCTTCAAAGCATCCACTTCTCTTGAATTAAAATTTCTTGCATATTAATTTTCCACAACCCGAAGTCATTGTTACTGGAAAATTTCTTGATCTGCCATTTACTAACCACGGTGCTCACTTGTTAATAATATCTCTTTGCTCTACGCTTACCGCACCACT